ACTTTATCGTTCTCCTTCTTCCCATGATTGCACTCTTTTAGATGTTATCTCTGATCAAATTGACCATGCCCTCTCTCTTTACCCCTCTGCCAATATTGTTGATGTTAGTGATTTTAATGCCCATCACACTGAATGGCTTGGCTCTAACATCACTGATCCTGCTGGCACTAAAGCTTTTAACTTCTGCGTTTCTCAATCTCTTACTCAGATAGTTAACTTTGTGACTCGTTTTCCTGACAACCCTAGTCATTTACCTTCACTCCTTGACTTATGTCTTGTCTCTGACTCTAGCTTATGTTCAGTTTCTCCCTTTTCTCCCTAAGGTGGTTCTGACCATGCAATGATCTCTATAAATCTTTCTTCTCGTACTTCTTTTTTGAACTCACCTTATCATCGCACCACCTACTACTACCCTAAAGCTGACTGGGATTCCTTTCGTGATTTTCTTTGTGATGGTCCTTGGGCTGATGTTTTTTCTCTCTCAGCTGACAAATGCGCCTCCTACGTAACCTCCTGGATTCAGGCTGGAATGGAAGCTTTTATTCCTTCTCGTCAGTTTCAAGTCAAGCCTCATTCTACTCCATGGTTTTCTCCTTCTTGTGCGGCTGCTATATCCAATCGTAATCATTTTTATTATCTTTTTCAAAAGAACAACTCTCTTGAGAACAAACGGCTATTTATTATTGCAAGAAATCGATGTAAAAAGGTGCTTTCTGATGCTAAACTCCATTATTCTCAGTTCAATAAATCTCGCATCTTATCGCAGAAGTTAGGCTCTAAAGACTTTTGGAAAATTTTCAACAGCATTGTTAACAAGAGTAGATCTAACATTCCATCTCTCATTCATGGGACTGATCTTATTACCTCTCCCAAGGATAAGGCAGAACTGTTTGCAAAGAACTTTTCTTCTAATTCCACTCTTGAATCTTATGGACATTCTCTTCCTTCCATTCCAGTCAAACAGGTTGACCCATTGTTAGACATTCAAATCACTCCGGCTTCTGTTGCTAAAGTCATATCTCAATTAAACTCGTCTACAGCTTGTGGTCCAGACAACATTCCTGTCACAGTCTTGCAGAATTGTTCTCCAGGACTTTCTTCAATTCTCTCTAAACTATTTAACAAGTGTTTGACTGAGTCTTGTTTTCCTGCTTGTTGGAAAATGGCATCTGTGGTTCCAATATTCAAAAAACTCTGGAGAAAATTCTGACCCCTCCAATTATCGTCCAATCAGTCTTCTTTCTGTTATTAGCAAGGTCTTTGAGTCTTTGATCAACAAATTCCTCACATCTCATCTTGAGTCAAATAAACTGCTGTCAGACAATCAATACGGTTTTCGATCCTCTCGCTCTACGGCCGACTTGCTAACTGCTGTAACTGAAAGATTTTATCGTGCATTAGATGGAGGCGGTGAGGCTAGGGTTATTGCTCTCGACATATCTAAAGCTTTCGACAAAGTTTGGCATGCTGGTCTTCTCCATAAGCTTGCTTCATATGGTGTTTCTGGGAAAGTTTTTGAGATTATCAAATCATTTCTTTCTAACCGGTTTATTAAAGTCATCCTTGAAGGCCAACACTCTTCTTTATTTCCAGTAACTTCTGGGGTTCCCCAAGGTTCCATCCTGGGCCCTGTTTTGTTTCTTATCTACATAAACAATCTTCCTGACAACCTTTCATCTAAAGTAGCTCTTTTTGCTGATGACTCAACTTTATACTCCTGTCTTGACAAAAAGTCTTCTCTTTTCGATCGCCTAGAACAAGCAGCTGATCTTGAATCTGATCTCACTTCAGTAATAGATTGGGGTTCACAGTGGCTTGTGAATTTCAACTCTAAAAAAACCCAATTGCTTACTGCAAACAACTACCGTAATATGGTCAACATTCCTATATTAATGAATGGTAATCCTCTTACTGAGTCCTCCTCTTTACGTCTTCTTGGATTATCGCTTACTACTGACCTTTTATGGAAACCATATATACAATCGATTACTAAATTAGCTTCTGCTAAGGTTGCTTCTCTTTATCGTGCTCGCCATTTCCTTACTTCTGATTCCATTCTCTACCTCTACAAATCTCTTATTCGTCCCTGAGTGGAAAACTGTTGTCATATTTGGGCTGGTTCTTCTAACGATTCACTTTCTCTTCTTGACAAGATCCAAAAACGCATTGTAAATGTTGTTGGACCTGGACTATCCGCTAATCTTGAACCTCTTTCCCATCGTCGTAAAGTTGCATCTCTTTCTCTTTTCTACAGATACTATCATGGTCACTGCTCAAAGGAGTTATCATCTCTAGTTCCATCAACTAAAATTCATTTTCATTTTACTCGTCATTGAGCTAAGTCTCACTTGTTTACTGTATCTGTACCTGCATGCTCTAAAAACTTTTATTCATCTAGTTTTTTTCCCCGCACTTCAATCCTTTGGAACTCTCTCCCATCTTCATGTTTTCCTGACTCATACAACCTTCAACTTTTCAAGTCTTCTGTCAACCGTTTCCTTGCTCTATAACTCTGTTCTTTTTTTTTCGTAGTAACTCCCAACTTAATAGTGGTTGCTTGCAGCCTTGTTGGGAGTGAATGCAAATAAAAAAAAAAAAAAAAAAAATTCCTAAAGGTTTTTAGGCATAATTGTGACCTGACTTCCAGTATCAACCTGCATTTTTATGTTGAAATCATTTATTTTTACATTAGTTTCTGAATTTGAGTCATTCATGTTAACAGAATGTACACTTGCAACATCAGTCTCTACTTCATCTACTTTTCTTACACAGTTAATATTAGATTTACCTACATTTTTAAAATGATTTATTTTCTTATTCATTCTGTAGCATTTTGAGAGCCTTGGTCAGAAGATTGAAACCCGTCAATTAGGATGAGATCATCTTTTAAGGTTTGTCCGTCTCTACATTTCGAAATTACAAAAACGTGCTGCCTCTCGTAATCTTTGTGCATATAATACAACGATTTCATTAATTTTTTTGTTTCAAGACTAAGAATCTAACTCTTTCGGCAATTATTAGTCATTTCTGTGGTCTTAAATAGGACATAATAGCAATTTTAATCTATTAAAAGTCATTTCTTAGCGACCATGAAGTAACTGATTTGTTTTTGATAAAAACAAATCAGTTACTTCATGGTCGCTATTTATTGTGTCTTTTAACTTTTTTGACCTAGCAGAAGCTGAAAAGCATCTAATCCAACCTTCTGCATTGTCTGGATTATCTAAACTCAATTCTGACATCCTACTCATAGCGCCATTGTTGTATTATGGAATAACCCGTAGAATACCTATTCATATTAATCTTATATCATTATTATAGATTCTATATATATTTATATTATATATATATATATATATATATATATATATATATATATATATATATATATATATATATATATATATATATATATATATATATATATATATATATATATTTCTACGTAATAATAATAGATGTTTGCAGAACGTCGTTTTTTACGGCACAACAACATGTAGTCGTTTTTTACGCCACAACAATCATCATTATGGATTTCAATCTTCCTGTTCTACAGCTGATTTGCTAACAGTAATAACCAATAGATTTTATCAAACATTAGATAAATGTGGAGAAGTTAAGGCTATCACTCATTACATTTCTAAAGCCTTTGATAAAGTTTGGCATGCTGGTCTTCTCCATAAGCTTTCTTCAGTGGGGTATCAGGTAACATCTTTAAGATTATTGAATTTTTCCTTACCAATTGTAGTATAAAATTTGTTTTCGATGGTCATTACTCTTCTTTATTTTCTGTAAACTTTAGGTGTTCCTCATGGCTCTATCCTTGGCTTTATACTTTTTTTCAATTTACATTAACAATATTCCAGAAACTCACATCTATGGTGGCATTTTCGCTGATGATACTGATGATATGGCATTTTCGGTGATAATACCATTCATTCTAGTCTTGATAAGAAGCCAACACTCTCTATTGCTTAGAGGCAGCTTTTAAGCTTGAAATGGATCTCATTTCTGCACAGCATGGAACTCTCAGTAATTTAGATCTTTCTATATTTATGAACGGTTATGTATTTGATGATTTATCTACCCTTTTTTTTTTAGGATTTACTCTTACTTCCAATCTTTCTCAGAAACCATAAATCAAATCGATTGCAAAATTAGGTTGCATCTCTTTATCGAGCTTCTCACTTTCTTACACAGAATTTTATTTTTTATTTCTATAAGTCTCAAATCTGTTCTTGTATGGAATACTGCTGCCATATCTGGAGCGGATCTTTGAATGATACCATTAATACATAACATATCACAGCATATTACTTAGCAGGTTACTTGTTTAAAATTTTGGTTTGAACTAATTAAATTTGAATAGGTCTAATCAATAAATGAAAATTGTTTTTGATGATAAATGATTTATCATCACATTGATAATGACTCCAAGTAATGCTCACGAGTAAACTATTTTATTTCAGGGAAAAACAATAATCTGAATCTCAAGTTGTTATCAATTTAACCAAAAACAAACAATTATTTTAATCAAGTTAATTAACTTAATCAAGTGAGTTAAGTGAACAAGTTATCGTGTTTGTCTCTGTTTCTGAGCTTCTAAACAAAATTCTGATGCTAAATAAAATTAAACTACACTTCATTGGCTTTATATTTTATTAAAATGGTATTAAAAATAAAAGTTTTTACTTATAATAATTTCTTGATAAATTTTCTTCATAATATTTTTTTTAATAATAACATACAGCATAAAAGTGTATACACTAGAAGAAAAATTATCATTAGGTAATATAACCAACAGTTAACTATATAACATATAGCTTATATGAAGAACAGTATATTGTATTTTAAGCAACTATTGCTTAATTTATTTTTTAAAAAAACTTATTTTGGCATTACTTTTTGAACACAAAAACAAAATAAAAAATTCATAATCATAAAAAGTCTGTTTTAAAAATTAATAAAAAAGTTAACATAAAATCAATGAAGTAATTTACCTGGTGTTCCATACTCAGACAATATTGACAATGTCATGACAAATACAATATGCAAACAAATTTAAAACTTTGCTTAACCAAAATTAAACTATTATTTCAAAAAAAAAAATTATTATAAAAGCGTTCAGATATTTTGTTTTATTCCCGGGTACCCTTTTAATTCATTCATCCAAAGGTTATTTTAACACTATCGAATATAACACTATCGAATATAAAAATATGACTACAAAACAAATAATTGATTATAGCCATAGTAATTAAAATTTATAAGGGCGGGTTCCACATGTTTTGAAACTATTTACCCGTTATTGTTTTTGCACATTTATCTTAGTGTTGTTAAGACTTGGAAATATTTTGACTGTCGATATTTTCTAAAATCGACTTTTTTGAAATCGACCAAGTCGATTTAGTCGAAATATGGGAATAAGTTTTTTTTCGAAGTAATGGTGGTTAGAGAAATAAAGTAATTTTTATTCGTTTTTTTATTTTTAGATATCATATCATTTAAATATTAATAAAACAAAGCAATAAAAGAAATGGGCCGCTCCGACGATGGGACAATTTATTCCCAAGTCCCAACGATTAAGATAAACAACGATAAAATCTTTTACAACATGAAAAATCCGTAGAATTGCAAATTCAAAGTCTAGATAACAAAAAAAATATTAAAAAGTCTCAACGTCTTAAATACTTGCTAAATATCAAAAAGTCTATGAAATCATATTTGCAATCGGATTGTATAAATTAAATTTAGATTCTAGAGCTTCGCAATTTAATTTTGCCCCAGGGTCCCGAGTCAGCTTGAAACGGCCCTGAATAAAAGAATCTCATGCATAGAATAAACAAATAAACAAACAAAAAAATTAATGAAAAACATAACCGAAAGTTTAATTATGTACAAATATTGCTAATATGCAATGAATTAGATAAACCTTTAAGTTAGTAAACAAAAAACTAGGTACCATGTAAAAGTTGTAATATTACATGCTATTGTTATTAATTGAGCTAACGATAATTAAAGATTGAAAAAATTAAATCGAATAAATAGGTATAATGATTTTTTTCTTAATACTTTGTGTTCGTATTACATAATAAAATCCTTTACAACAGTTAAATCCGTAGATTTGTAAATTCAAAAGTTCAGGTAACAAAAAAACTAAATCAAGTTAAAATACAAACAAAATCTTTTGGAAGATCCTAATGATCTTATCGCCAGAACCTTTTTTCAAAAACAACATGTATTACAATACCAGAAAGAAAAAACTTATAATATAAATTTTTATTAAATAAATTATTCTTAGTAATATTCCTAAACTCCGATTAAATATAAATTATTCATTGAATAAATCGACTTTTAGTCGTTTAATAGGAAACTCACAGTCGATTAAGTTGACTTATTTCGACTTTCGACTAGTCGATTTAGTCGAAAACAATAATCATTTTTCGCATACAACGTTAGTTATATAATTTTGAAGTTATTTAAAGAAATAGATTTTCATTATGATTTAAAAAAAATAATTTATACAAATAAACAATTTTAAACCAAGTAGCACAATATTGCATCAAATGAATGAAATGTAATTATAACGTTTACGACTAAATGTTATAAGCTATGGAATAAGAAATACTTTTTTTTTACTTAAAGTTTATATTTTACAAACCATAAATTTTTGTGTAATCAGGGCCGTCCCGAAGAGATTTTAAAGGGGGTGGTGATGTGTCTGTTTTTTTCCGACTAAAGCCAAAAATATTTTATTTGATCGCTAAAAAAAAAAAAAGTTCAAGTTAAAAGTTAAATTACACGGAGCGGGCGTGTTCCGTAAGCCCATCAACAACTAGCCGTGCTAGCTCGTGCGAAATTGCACGGAAGATGATGCGCTGTAGTAATTATTAAAGCTGATCGAATTTTGCTTTGAAGCGATCGACACTGGTAGCGCTGACTACTACGTTAGGTAATGCGTTCCATGGGTGAGCGACGCGGTTGTTGAAGGAATTATAGCGAACGAGGCAGTTGTTGTCCATTTCACGATGAAAACGCTTGCGATGACCGTAGCTAGGTGGGATGTTAGGTGGATCTATATGCCAGCTAATTGAGTCGATACTGTTTTTGAATTTATATTTTTGAATGAGGTTGCCGCGTAAATTTAATAGAGAGGTGAGACCGAGTTTGATGCATCTTGTCTCGTAATTGAAGCGCTTTATTTCGTGCGGTACTTTGGTAACCCGATCCTGAACACGTTCTATGACATTTATGTCTTTTTCAAGATTCGGGCACCAGGCAGTAACTGCAAACTCGAGATGTGGGCGTATATAAGTGGTGTAAAGTTTTTTCCATATTTTAATATCTCTGCTAATAAACGTGTTTTTCAATGTCCCGAGGACTTTATTAGCCTTGGCAGCGGCTATTTGTGCTTGCCTCTCATATTTTATGTTGTTGGAAATTTGAACGCCTAGATCTTTTTTGAATGATGTTGAATTAAGTAACTCGATTACTGTTCTAGTGACGTTACCGTTAGCGTCGTACTCGTTCATTAAATAAATATGTGGGGAAACATTGTACTTACTAATAATGCATGACTTTGCATTTCTTGATGTTGAGTTCCATTAATCAGGTTCGAGTCCAGGTAACAACGCTATCTATATCGGATTGCAAAAAGGTCCTCGTTTCCCGATATTTGCAGACTGCCAACTATAGATCCAATAGACATCGCTACGCCCCCCTCCAGACGGCCCTGTGTGTAATTTATTGATTTTTTTTTTTTTTTTTTCTTTCATTATTTGTCATGAAATCTAAAAAAACTTATCTAAATATATTACGTTTACTATCAGGGGCGATTCTACGAATAAAATGAAGGGGAGTGAATCCTCAAAAAGTACTGCTAAGCTTCTAATAAAGAAAAAAAAAAGGTCGTCAAAACGAAAATTTAACCGACTGAATTGTGTCAAATAGCCGACTAACTGACTATAACTTAAAAAGTACCTTCTTTGAGAGGGTGTAATACCCCCACTCCACCCCACCCCCACACACACATACACACACCCGTAAAATCGTCTCTGATTACTATTACTAATGGAACAAAGTCAAAGATTGTATTTAAGTATGAATAGAACATTTTTGGGTGATGTTAATTTAACAGACTTTTCAAGATTTTTGGTAAAGTTTTAATGGGTGAATATATCTTTATTATAAATTAATCTTCAAAAGCTACACAAAGCTTTTAACTGATGGAAAAAAATAGAAAATAACAAAATGGCAAATTACAAGTTAACAAATTAACTTATGCTTTCTAATCCAATAAAACGAGAGCAAACCCAATTCACCGTCAACAAAAGTTTATTCACCGTCATTATTAAATTTAAATAAAAAATCGATTTTTTGCTCATCGAACTTGAAGAAGTAAAATGTAAAAGAAATAATTTTCTAAGCATTAATTATATTTAGAAAACTCAAAGAAGTAAAACGCAATTTAACAGCAAGTCAAAGGTTTATTCTCAAGAAAAAAACGAAAGAACGAAGCGATAAAAGCGAGTCAAGAAGTGATGAAAAAAATATTTTATCACGGTATTATTAAAAAATGACAACGTTTCACAACGAAAAATGAAATTTTTCACAAATAGTTTTAGAACTATACCAAATCACTAATATTGACTATGCACCGCTCAAAATTACTAAAAAAGAGCGATCGCCTTTATTCTTACACGAAGGTTTCACATTTTAGAATCTTTTTCCCGCTCTTTTTAATATCTTTTTCTCTACAAGCACAATGTATTAAGATGTTTTTTTTTATTTATTAAATAAAACTTTGGCATTTACAAATTTCAGACAAATTTTATGTTGGATAACAACTCTAACAATAGATTATAAAATATTCTTTACAAGTCCGCTTAAACTAATCAACAGATTATATATCGAGTATAAACTAGATGAGAATTTCACAATTTTATTCCACCTATATATTTATATTATATAATATATATATTTACAAATATTAATAGATTACTAATACCATGTAAATTTAAGGTTTTTAGCAATATTAGAGAAGAAAGTAGAATAACGGTTCATTTCACCTAATGAGAGTGACAAGAAAGTTTCTGTACATTCAAGGACGTATAAATAGATGGACTTTTAACGCATTATAGATCAAAAGGCGCCGCCAAGTAATAATAAAATCTGATATAAGTAATTACCGGCCTATTCACGGTTAGCACGGATCCTTATAAAGCTGTCCCAAGAACGCCACGTATACGGAAAGTTAGCGTACACATCAAGGTACCCTGTGATGCAAATTTTGAAATCATTTAACTTTGTCTGCGGAAAATAATTTAATTTAAATGTTCAAATTAAATCAAATTTTGACTTCATAGTGCGCCAATAAAAACACTTGTAGAATTTGAACCACTCACTGATCTCAAAATATAACTGGATAGCGGATTCTATTGTTTTTTCCGAAAATAGTTGAAGCCAAAATTGGCCTCCCAAGATGGCGGCAATTTTAGTTCCTAGCGGTGAAACCGATACACATTTTATTTTACTTTATCAAAATACAAAAGAAAATAATGAAATAAGACTAATACATTTGTAAAAACAACAACAACAACAACAACAACAACAAAAAAATGAGTTTTATAATTATTAGAGAAAAAAATAAAAATTATTTTTTTAAATAATTGAATTTATTATTAAATGGCATCAGTGAAATTTACAATTTTAGTTTTATGTATAATTTATGTGCCTTTTAGTTCTAACTAAGAATGCTTTAACTAAGAATAAGAACCCAATGCTGTATGCTAGAAGGTTAATAATTGCTGCTGTTTACCATTCATTACCAGCATGGTAAACAGCAGCAATCATGTCTACCTACAATTTTATACTTTATTTTTTTAAAGCAAGATACCAATTTGTACAAATGCTACATGAACTATTAACTGAGTGCTGTAAGTACACAAAAACTCAGGTGCTTCTTCTAGACTTATATTATACTTAAATGCTATTATTGCATAAATAATATGATTAAAATATTTTAAAGTGTCACTTATATTGGTAAAAAAAAAACCAGGTCTGAATTATAGTTATTTATAAAACTTTTAAAACAAATAAAAAGTAAATAATCATTTCTTATAACTTAAAGGATAATCACTCAGTACAATTGGTGATCGAAATGTATGTAAAAATACATTTGCTTGAAAAAAAGGT